CCTATATTAGACAGAAGTAGAGTTTTACCATCCACTAAGGCATTTGCTAAATCATCTCGTTCATTGAATAATTTTCAACTGAAAATTGGAGAGCACATAACGTAGGTTACAGATTCTATTTCCATCCACGATAGTTACGCCCATTTGAACTACATTTTTAGTACTCCTATATTATTAGCCAATTCCTCCACAGCAGACATACACATATGCCCGTGGTCGGATCATCATATCGTTTCCTTCACCACTTCCCATGTAGGCCTAGCTCCTACTCCATACAGGTTGTGCATTAATGACTCAATATTATCAGACCCTGAAATTATACAGCTTTCCTCATATATGGAAGATTACATTACTCAAAATACCAATTCAAATATATCTCCCACTTCCCTTTTGGACTGTGCATAAAGCTGTAATGAGAGGACATCTGATTAGTGTAGTTTATGCACATCCCCATGTGCATAAACTTAGAAATGCATCGGCAGTTTAGTCTCCCACCCCCAAGAGGTATTGAATATCTTTTTAGATTTTTATAAATACTTCCTTTCTACTCCTCAATTATCTCCTAGTTTATCTTCTCAGTCGTGGTTAGACAGTATTCCACTCCCCGCTCTCTCTAAACAACAAATTGATAGACTTTATGCCCCATGTACTGACCTAGAAATAATTAACATTATTAAATTAAATCCTCCACTGCACCGGGTCCTGATGGTTACTCTACCACCTATTGAAATTTTCTTCAATATTAGTCCGTCGCTTAACCAAATTATATTAAATCCATTTTCCAGAAGAAAAGTTATTGACTAACATGTCCCTTTTACCCTTTTACCCAAACCTCATAAAGATCATACTTTGCCACAAAAATTTCATCCAGTTTCTGTTATAATGATCTCAAAATATTTGATCGCCTATTAGCAGATAGATTAGCCAGAGTTATTACCTCTTTGATCCAACCAGATGAAACTGGTTTTATTCCAGGTAGACAAATTTCAGACAATCTTCGTCTGGCCATTAATAAATCCTCATTCTTGGTCAGTTTGTATACTCAGCCTAGATTTACAAAAGGCTTTTGATAGTGTTAGTTGGCCTACTTGAATGTTCTACTTCCTAAACATGGTATTTCTGATGAATTCCTACTAGGCTCCGAGGCTCTATATCATGCTCCCCAAACAAGAATTAAACTCACTGGTAGTAATTCTGAAATTTTTTCTCTAATAAGAGGTACCAGACTGGGTTGTCCTCTCTCCCCACTTTTAATTGTTTTTTAAATTGAACCATTGGCATGTGCTATCAGAAATAATATGAATATCAAAGGATATACGCAGGGTCCAAAAGAATTTAAATTAAGTCTCTATGCTAATGATGTTCTCTTATTCCTATCAGATACCCTTATATTTAAAACAAATCTTATATCTGAATTAAATATCTTTCATGACCTCTGGGGACTAAATTTATATAAATGTTCAGCGATGCCTATTAACCTTTCGCCCTTGTTATCGGCCTCTCTGCAGGAGAAATTTTAATTTTCTTGGTGTACACATTCCTTTCATTATCTGGGCATTTCCCTTACACTTTCATATAAATCACTCTTTCAAACAAACTATACACCACTTTGTTATATGTTAAATCATTGTTATCGATGTAGTCTTCTTACCATATTTCATTTCTCGGTAGAGTGTTTGCGATCAAGATGGTTATTTTCCTAAAATTATTATTTTATTTTAGAAAAATCACAAAGGTGTACCTGCGAACAAATGTTCACCAGTACACCTTTGTGATTTTGCTAGCAGCAGCCAGTCTAATTGTTCAGTCCTCTGCACAGGTTATACTCACATATTTTATTTTAGAGCCTAACCAACACTGGTCTCTAAAACCACTTTACACTCTCTTCAGAGAGAAATTAATGCATTAATTGGGCTAAACTCATCCTGCATAGATCCCAGCTCAGGGGTGGAATAGGTCTTCCCAGTCTATGGTTATATTACTTATTGGCAAGATTCACACAATTAGCCCAATGGTGGGCCCCATCTAGTAATATTGCTTGGCTCTCTTTTGAAATATATTCAGTATTTACTTTAAATCTGCAAGGGTTGCTATGGTCCAAATCGATCCCCCCTCAAGAGCTCTACTCTAAACACCGTAGTCACCAACTCGTACCACTTGTAGCATCGCCATAAAAATAAATTTAACCTGATTTCTACCACTCCTCCTTTAGCCTCATTTCTTGGAGATCCCAATTTTTCTCCTGCTTTTAGAGACAGAGACTATTTTACGTTCTGGCAAAAACACAATCTCACTAACCTTAAATCTCTTACTAGACACAATAAGTTTAGTTCCTTTGTCTCGTTACAAACAGAATATAATTTGCCTATAATAGACTTCCCAAGATATATACAAATTAAAGAATTGTTTTCAAAACACTGCTCACCTGCAACTACAAACATGCATGTAGGTCTTGCACACATGTAAACAGTGATCATATCACACATGTAAAGTATCACCGCAAATGTTCACGCGAGAGCAATAATTCTAGCGTCAGACATCCTGTTTAACTATAAACTTGGTAACCTGTAAAGTTTTTAAATTATCACCTATAGATAATTTCATGTCAATTAATTTTTATTCAGAAAAATTTGCAAAGTACAACACTAGCTCAGCAGATGAATAGAAATAAGAACAGCCTCAGCCTTGAGCTCCTTTTGAGCCTGGTCTGATGCATTTTGCCCTGCCCATCAGGGCTTAAACAGAAATCTCTATGATTAAGCCCTGATAGGCGTGGTGAAATGTGCAAGTGACAGGGCTCAGGAGGAGCTCAAGGTTGAGGCTGTACATATTTCTTTTTACCTGTTGAGGTAGTGGTGTGGGGGGCATCTTTCATCCTCTCAAACCACAGTTTTATTCCCCAGGAACTTTGCTTTCAGAAAAAATATATAATGCTTTGGGTTTACGTAATTTTCTAGCAAAAAAATGCAGATAAATCGTATGCTTAACCAGTGGGTACGCTTTGCTGTGGTTTCGTTTTAATAAAACATTTGTTTTCATTGCATGATGTATTTTGGACCCAATGACATCACAACTGGGCCTCTGTGCTTCTCTAGAGTCCTGTACTTAGTTTCATGAAAACATCACAGCACTCTGCCTCAGTACTTCTCTTAAGAGCCCTTAGCTCTGATTTAAGCAGCCTGGCATGTATAGTAATGGCTTGGAGTCTTGCCTAGTCAAAGCAGACATTTTATAGTTTCCAAAGTGTCTGCTGTAGTTGGTTACTTAGTGTTTGTCTGGCCTTGGTGGAGCAGACACTTAAGCCTGTGACGTTTGAAATTGTGAACTTGACCTAAAAGAAACAGGGACTTCGAAGCTCTGATGTGTATAGTTTAAAGAGCATTGCCTCACTGTATGTCCATCTTAGTGGACATGCCAATGGCATTTTTAAATAAAACCTTTCTGGCAGTGATGTCACTTTCTTGTCTATGCAATGCAGGCAGATCATGGCTGGTGGGAAGGCAGGGTGGGGTACATAGCTTCTTGAAAATATTTCAGCACTCCTCTTGAGCTCTCAGACCATGATGCAGGTAGGGGGTGGCTCTTGGGGGGATTTATGCAATTTTTAATGCCTTGATGGGTACGTGTCAGTCTGGAGTAGTGAGCATTCATAAGGATGAGTAGATTTGCATGCAGGCTGCCCACATGTGATTCTGAGCCCCTGTGATTGAAAAAAATGAATTCCAATAAAGAAAACGGATGGTCCAGGGACAGTTAGGCTTGGGAACAGTTGGCTATATGATGCTGAGCATTCTCCAGATGGGCTCTGAAAGGAATATGTGAATGAAGAATCTACAAGTCCCATCTGTCACCATGCCAGAGGGACTTCAGGTTCTCAGTGGACTGCAAAGGTGCTGATGAGGGCCCTCATAATTGATTCAAGAAAAGCTGGAGGATGTGTCTGCAGGAGCTTGACATTGCACCCATGATCCACTGACTGTGGGTGCAAAAACCTGTGCTATTATTATTTTTTTTTTTTTTTTTTTTTTTTTTTATAAAGTTGAACTTCACCTTTAATGCAGTCCTCTATTATGTCTGAAGTAATGCCATGATGAGCAGTAACTCTGTGCCTCTGACCTTTTTCCTGAAAGCTGCACACAAAATGCATGAGCTCCTTGTCATTACAGACCGCAGACACTGTTTAACACATCTTCATTTTGTTCTTGTATCATTTACTGTGATGGCACACATCCCATCCTGCATTCTGCAACCTGGCGCACATACATTTACCTGCACCAGAAATACAAGAGTATGAACGGGGATGTAAAAGTTTGTTTGGAACTTGAAGCAGCCAAGGGGAAAAAAAAACTGAATTGGTAATTGTCAGAATATACATGAGCCAGCAGTTACAAAAGTGCAATTTAACCAATCACCAAACATCAGATCATTGTGCATCTCTTTATTTCCAAAGCCTCTTCTTCATAAATGGCACATGTATTTCTATTAGTTCAGTTCAAATAGTTGATAAAATATGACGTTTTTCTTGGTTTCGAGATAGCAGCAACATTTTGAGATAATTGCTTGCTGTGTTTTCTGCTGCAAAAACAGTTGTATCTCTACATATAGAATGCGTTCTGTGATCTGCTATGCAAAACGACTGTTTACCTACAGTAAACTCCATAGGGCATATTCGTGTTTTATTTTAGAACAGTTTGTGTGCCCTGTAGTGCTGGCTGTCACGTCTGTTCCTGAGCAGTTTGTTATTTGGAGTGCTCAGAGACTCTGTTCCCATTGGAATGTGTGTGGGTGTACTGCTAAATTACACACACCTCCCAGGCATCCCAGCACTGCTTCTCCCTAATGATCTGCTTTGTTCAGCTACTTGCAGATAATACTAAGCTTAGCAGAATAAGTTTTCCAAGTTTAAAGTTGTCGGTATTGTTTGTGTTTCTGATACCGCATCTGGAATTGTAAATCATTATTTTTTTCTTTGCAAACCTTTTTTTTTTTTTTTTTTTCAGATTTGATTTGGCAAACTGTAACTTAAATGATGAGTTTATTAACAAGATGAACCCCCATCACATTCCTGATGTGGTAAGTCAAGTTCTATCCCCTAGATGGCACACTCGGCTTATAAATGAATTATCAGCAGTCTTAGCTGTGAGTTTGAAGAGTTCTTCCCTGAACGTTGGATTCTAATAAAAGTGCTGGATATGTGGTAGTCAGCTGTCTTGATATGGGGGCCTCAGGTGCTGCACCTGACATTGCTAGGGGGGCACACATAAAATTCAGAGAATCTGATCAGCACACTAGACACACAACAGGATATAGTCAGAGACTATGGGTATGATACAGGAGATGATCAGAGAATGCAGACTTACTGCAGGAGTCTGGAAAAGACTGTGAACGTTCTGTAGAAGCTGTTGGAGACTGGAGACATGCTTTAGGAGACATTCACGGACTAGTTACATGAGACTGCTAGAAATCACGACTATAACAGGGCAAAAGGGAAACACCGATTAGTGTCTGCAGGGGCCCAGAGGGCTGCACAGAAAAGTGTCACATGTGGCCCTTCGGCCGCTGTACCTATGCTGCATTAAAGTCCAATTCCTACCCTAAAGCAGACACTTGCTATTATTTTTCTTCCCTCTCTCTGAAACTAGTTTCACTTTAGACTTTCACTTTTTGTTAGAGGCCTGAATTCAGGGCTAAGAACGCTCAGCTACCATTTATATTCCACTGAAGGTGTCTCTGTAGCGAGTAAGGAAATGCTTTTTGGAGAAAGGACTGCTAGTTGGAAGGGACTAGTTCTAAATTCAAGCAAGCAAGTTTCTAGTGAGAAAGTGAAACTACTTATAGAGAGGCACACAGAGTAAAGTCTTCTGACTTTTAAAAGATGGTATTACATAGTATCTGCTTTTAAATTGGTGATAGGCTGCTACTTCATTGGGAGGTTTTGTGAGCCATGCCGTGGTTGCAAAGAAGTTTCATGGCAGTCTTTCACATGATGAGCTAATGCACTGATTACTCTAATTTTTTAGATCCCCCATATGTGTATTATTTGTAAAGCCCAACTCCAGAAAAATGAAAATTCTCCCTTGCAATGAGGCTGTGCTAGCACCACAAGTATTAACTGCTCGTTTAGGTCTAGGAGAGAGTAAAATCTTTTACTTTTAGGATCCTCAGCTCCTCCAGCACACAGCTCTCCCCTATGCTCCGGCTCTGGACTGTGCCATGACATCATCATCATGGTCCTGATGATGTCAGGACCATAGACTGCAAGAGCATGGGGGGAGAAGATGTTTTGGGTACCAGTCGGGCAGCACAGAGGATCAGGTAAGTAAATGTAATTTTCCTGGCCCCCTTAGACTTAAATGAGTAGTTATTCATTGCAGGGTGGGAACAGCCCGACTGCAGGGAGGAATTTGTACGTTTCCTGGAGTTGAGCTTTAAAGGAGAAGTTCACCTTTTATAATGTGTTGCATGTTACAGTACACCATATCCAGGGTGTAATGTGTTACTGTTGCAGCAGACCCCCTGATCCCCTGTTGTGACAGCAAGCTGGGGATCCTCTCTCTGCACCACTCTTACAGCTTAAAAACAAAAAGCGGCGGTGCGGGGCTCCGCCCACCTGGTCGCGTCATTCATTCACAGAGTTCTGTGAATTGGAGAACTGTAAGTATCAACAGCATCCGTGGCTGTTGGGTTGTAGTTCTTAATGAACTGACAGTCTGCAGGAGCCTCGCATTGCACCCTCAATCTGCTTTGCAGATTAAAAAAAAAAAAAAATTATATATGCACATTTTATATTTTACCTGCAAAAAGATGTGCATTTTTTTATTATTATATTTTTTATAAAGGTGAACATCTCCTTTAAATATAATGGGACCTCTACGCATGTGTTTTTGTTTGTTTTTTTTTTTTTTTGCTCCCCCCCCAGAAAGATACCCATTCAGGGCAAAATAGTGGGTTCTTTTGTATGAAAAAAAAAATACAATCCACGGATAGCACAGTATGAAAGACTTACCTGAAAGTGCACTGAGTGCTGTCTCTGCTCCCGGGGCTTCCATCTACACCCGGTCTTCCTTCTGGGTTTGCGAGCTCTGACCATTTGACTGGCTGAGCCCCAATGACAGCACGGTGTCCATTGAGAGCGCAGTGCGCATGCGCCGGTGGCATCACTGGCACTACAAAAGTAAATATCTCCCAAACAGTGCACGGTTAGGAGATATTACTGTACCTACAGGTAAGCCTTATTATAGGCTTGCCTGTATGTACAAGAGAAAAAAATGACTTTACTACCACTTTAACATCAGTTTAGGCACTATTTGGAATGGCTACGGTTAATCTACATGAACTAGAATAGTTTGGTTTTATATTGCTTCATTAAACTCCAGCTAAACTTGGTCACAAACAGCTAAAGATTGTTTCTCTAGTTGTAGTGACATTAACACATCAGAGTATTTTTCTGGTATTAATAGGTAAAATACTATCACATAGTCTATTAGGAGCAACAAACCTCAGCATTTCAATTATTTTTTTCACAGAAATTTGAAACAAGATATGATCTATGCTCAGTTCATATGAACATTTTCTACATTTTCTGCCAAAATGTTTTTATTTTGAATTCTGACTTTTCATTTGCTGTGCTTATTCTGGGTCTGATGCAGAAATATTAAAGCCAGACACAGCCCAGAAAGAAGCATCTTTAGAAAGAATCCAGTACTGGCAACCCAGTGAATCCATGTATTTCACTCTTCTCATTTCATACAGGTACTTATCAAGAAGAGCTATGATCGTGCCAGGAGGCAGAGAAAGAGAAACTGGAAGTTGAAGGAGCTGGAGAGAGACCGAGAAGGCATGGACACAGATGATGAAAGGTCTCTATTCACTAACCATGTGACTCACATTTGTGTGTTGCTGTCTATTTTGTGTGACTTGGCCCTTTCTAAAGATACAAAGTGGTAATCATCTCCACTGCCAGCATGTGGCATTTCTAAGGAAAATGTCTCCATTTAAACTTCAGCTATTTTGGCTTAGCTATATTTACTTACCTTATTGCTAAAGATACTAGGTATTTATTTATGGATAGTTTGAATAAAAATCTGCAGGGATTTATCTTCGCCATTAGGACAATAGTGGTTAGGTTTATGTGCACATGAAATGGTATTATGGCACAATTTTTAGCCCTCCCACTTCCCCAGACACACGCACACACACACACGCACAGTTCAGTCCATGCCTGGAATACTGTTCAAGACTTAATGGTCTCCTCTCTCTTACAGCACCGCTGCTCTGGCTCTGTACTTTTCAGTTCTCTTTGCACGCTCACTGGGCTCATATTGGAGATATGCAGACTTGGCTGCTCCCTTGCAGTCCTATGGACTCCTGGGAGCAGGAGCTAGTCCTAGATTGGCAGTTGACTAAGTGTGTTTTAAGGGTTCCATGGTGTTACTGAAGGCATACCACTGCTTAAAAAAAAAAGCATTGCAAAAAACATTTTATAAAGCACTCCAAAGAATGCAATGCATAATTAAAATAACCGAGTAATAAAGGTAGAAGTCCAGTCACGTCACATTTTAAAACCAAGAGACCATCCTCTCCTCCAATTGAAGATTTCTTTCTGTTGCATTAACCACTTCAAGTCTGGACACTTTTACCCCCTTCCTGTCCAGGCCAATTTTTAGCTTTCAGTGCTATCACACTTTGAATGACAATTGCGTGATCATGCAACACTGTACCCATATGCATTTTTTTGAGACCGATAAAACTTTATTTTGGTGGTCTTTATTCACCACTGAGGTTTTTATTTTTTTTGCTATATGAAAAACCAAAAAAATATTTTAAAGTATTTTTCGCTCCATAAGACGCACTCTTTCTTCATAAATATTGGTCAAAATTTATTCAGTTACAAAAAAAGGGGGGAAAATGTCAGTGCGTCTTATGGAGCGAATATAAAGCGGCCGGTCCGGTATTTCTGCCGCCACCATTTCAGATTATACCGGGCCGGCCGGGAGTGAGCTGTTACACTCCTGCAGGCCTTACCTGTTCCTCGCTCCAGCGCTGCACAGTCTTCCCGCGCTGGCTTCTGTGACAGCTGTGGGTGCCCACTGCGCATATGGTGCGCTTTGTGAATGATCCGGTGTGTTCATGGACACATGACAGGTCCCAGAAGGCGCCGGGCATTCACAAAGCGCAGCGCTTCTCGCACATGCGCAGAGGGCACCCGGCTGTCACAGAAGCCGGCCCGGGAAGGAGACAGAAGGACAACTCCGCGGAAGTGGGAGCGGGTACCTGTCAAATTCAGGTACCCGCTCCCACCTCCCTCCCCAAAGGTCAGCAGTCTCTGTTCATCCCCTGCACTGTCTGCAGTCTCTGGTCATCCCATGCACTGTCTGCAGTCTCTGGTCACCCACTGCACTGTCTGCAGTCTCTGGTCATCCCCTGCACTGTCTGCAGTCTCTGGTCATCCCCTGCACTGTCTGCAGTCTCTGGTCATCCCCTGCACTGTCTGCAGTCTCTGGTCATTCCCTGCACTGTCTGCAGTCTCTGGTCATTCCCTGCAGTCTCTTGGTCACCCCCTGGACTGTCTGCAGTCTCTTGGTCACCCCCTGGACTGTCTGCAGTCTCTTGGTCACCCCCTGACTGTCTGTCTGCACCCCCTCTTGGTCACTTGGTCACTCCCCTGGACTGTCTGCACAAAGTCTCTTGGTCATGCTGTAGTCCTGGACTGTCTGCAGTCTCTTGGTCATCCCCTGGACTGTCTGCAGTCTCTTGGTCATCCCCTGGACTGTCTGCAGTCTCTTGGTCATCCCCTGGACTGTCTGCAGTCTCTGGTCATCCCCTGCACTGTCTGCAGTCTCTGGTCAAATCCCCTGCACTGTCTGCAGTCTCTGGTCATCCCCTGCACTGTCTGCAGTCTCTGGTCATCCCCTGCACTGTCTGCAGTCTCTGGTCATCCCCCTGCACTGTCTGCAGTCTCTGGTCATCCCCTGCACTGTCTGCAGTCTCTGGTCATCCCCTGCACTGTCTGCAGTCTCTGGTCATCCCCCTGCACTGTCTGCAGTCTCTGGTCATCTCCTGCACTGTCCGCAGTCTCTGGTCATCCTGCACTGGTCATCTGGTCATCCTCCCTGCACTGTGTCCGCAGTCTCTGGTCATCTCCTGCACTGTGTCCGCAGTCTCTGGTCATCTCCTGCACTGTGTCCGCAGTCTCTGGTCATCTCCTGCACTGTGTCCGCAGTCTCTGGTCATCTCCTGCACTGTGTCCGCAGTCTCTGGTCATCTCCTGTACTGTGTCCGCAGTCTCTGGTCATCTCCTGTACTGTGTCCGCAGTCTCTGGTCATCTCCTGTACTGTGTCTGCAGTCCATTGGTTCAGAATATTTTTTTTCTTGTTTTTTGCCTCTAAAACCTAGGTGCGTCTTATGGTCAGGTGCGTCTTATGGAGCGAAAAATACGGTAAATGAAAAAGTCCAAAAATATTTTAAAGTATTTTTCTAATACAATTTTGCAAACAACTCTTTCTTCATAAATATTGGTCAAAATTTATTCAGTTATCTTAGTAAAAAAATAACCCAAATTTAGTTTATAACCAAAAATTGATTTTTTTCAAAAAAAAAATTTACATTTGTATTTTATTTTTTTATATTATTATTATTTTTTTTTTTATTTTACATACTGTTACCCTAGCAATGCAGTGTCACCATAGTCGCACTGTACTTCTTGTGGGGGAGTGATGTTTTTTTTTTTTTTTTACACTAATTACTTTTACATCCATAAAGGCTGTAAAAGCAATAATTTCTCCTTCTCTGTGACTGCATTCTTGCAGCCATTGAGAATTACTGTGAGAGCTGTGACTGGTCACAGCTTGTCATATGGTACAAGGCTGTTGTGAATAGCCTTGTACCATGTGACCTCTGTGATCAGTCACAGATTTCACAAGTAGTAAGCAATGATGTCAGAAGTGACATCTTGCTTACTACTATTCATGCCATCACTGATTGGCCAATCAGTGATCACATGAATTGGTACCTCACACAGAGGTCCCGTGCAGCGATCGGTGCCACGCACTCTCAGGAAGCTCGCACAGGCTGTGGATGCGGGCGCCGTTTATAAACAGCAACCAGCTCCTGCACTGCTCCCGTCCGGCCGTTTATGTACATGGGCCGGAAGGGAAGTGGTTAAGGAAAGCGAGCTCTGTGACATACTGCAGACTTTACACTGTGGTCTGCATTTTATGAATAGGTCATAAAATGCAGGTTGCAGTGTAAAGTAATACCTTGGTATATAGCAAATAGCAATATCTGCTCACTATTATAAATGGGCCCCTAAGAGTGAAGGGAAGTTTCTTCATCTTCAATTTACCGGGACCCACTGCAGTATCCTTCCTTTTTCAGCCAGTGAGTGATATCAGACATTTTCTCACTTTTCACTTGGCTGGCAAGTTGGAAAATCTGTGTAATGTATAACGAGTACAATAACGAGATGTATGTATTTATTTTTTTTATAGAGACTGCAGAAATGGGATTTGTTTTCTGCTTCGGTTTCATTAACAGATATGTGTTTTCTTCATAAAGTTCTTGTAAAGGATGGTTAAATGCTGGACATGCTGTCTGAAAGGTCATGTGTATGGCCACTCGTACATCCCTGGTGTACTTATTTAAAATTGTCATACACGCTCAGCACAACTCTTCTATAATGTCTGATTTTTGCACTTGTGTACTGAAGGACATTTTGTGCAGTCAAGTGACCTTTTTTGTTATGAAGTTCAGTTTAAAGAGCTCTTCAGTGATTTCAGTATTTACTTGTATTATCAGGGATGGTTAACAAAACAATTGAATGCAAGTAGCTATTTCACATGAAGCTCTGCACTTAATCCTATCTAAATGTTATCTGTGACTTTTAATAATTAGCATTCTGTGGCAAGTATATGCTTCCTGTTATAGAATCTAGTTGGCAATTCAGTGTTTTAGGGTGTTTCATCCTATACAAATAGGGAATGAATTGGAATTATTTTATTACTGTAAAACTACAATGCAAATAGTAATTCAATTACACATTTATTAACATCATTAAGTGCACTCCTAATCGTGCAGTACAGGGCTGTAATTATAGTGCATGGGTTATTTGCAGGCTATCTTAAGGTGATTAGACACTGGCAACACCCTTTGCTAGGGTGGCCTGCACCAGACTTTTTGATAATGTCCTTAGATGATGGACCTCTTCTGCTTGGGAGAGGTTTTTTTCTCTTTTTAAACCATTCATTTTTTTCTTTAGTCAAAATTTGACTTTGTGCCCTGGGTTACCTAGCAGTTTCCAGATCAGTTAACCTTGGTACCCGAACCCCACAGTTGTGAGGTTGGCATGTAATGTTTTTGGGCACTGGATCCTGCCTTAGACGCTCACCGGGCATGGTTTTGCAACGGATGTAGTTTGTTGAAGAGTGTTATAGAGTTCTAGGAGCGTGGTTTATCTCTTTGGTTCCCAAACACTGAAGGCCCTTTGGGATGGGGGGTGTGCCCACCAGGATAGGTGAAGCCTGTGCCCTTAAATAACACAGCAGCATGGACTAGGTAAAACAGGATTGTTTTGTTCCTGGCCATATGCACCCTGCAGTGCTTAGCACACAAGCGGATACAGAGGTGCAGGAATGGGGACTTATTCACCTTGTTGTTTTCATCCTCATTATATTTGTCTCTGATGCCTCTGGCACTATAAGTATTTTATACTGCTTTTTACATTTGGTGATGTTTTCAAATCTGCACTTTGTCTCGGAAATGCAAAACTCCACTTGGCTGATGTGCTTCCGCATGCTGTATCAGCTGAAAATGTGAACACCACATTTGCTACAGTTCCTGGCACCTTCTGCTACACAGACCAGGAACATGGTCAGTACTTGGTTATAATGGTACCATGGGCATACAAAACCCCATTCCTCCTCATTCATTCCGTGAGTACCTCACATGGTATCCCAAAGGCAGTTGGGAGATGAAACTCAAGGGCCGACTAACATATGCTTGGTCGATGGCCTACTAAAAATTGCAACAATAAGGATGATGGCTGTTCTCTTGTCCCATAGCAATGTCCTGTAATGATACGGCTTCCTTTTTCTGACCCTTATTTTTGTCTCAATGCACATAATGCTTCCTATCTGACAAAAGCAGATTTGTCTTAATTCAGTGGGAAGCTTACAGCACTCTTTAAACCTTTGTTTTTCAGAGGCATAAACACTACACTTCATCTTTCCCTAATTCTGTTCATGAATTGAAGATGGAGCCTCCTGACCCGTTTGAGGATAAAATGGAGGAAAGTGATACATATATTGTAGTTGAACATGCAGATGGGTTTTCAACTCCTGCATTTTAATGAGACACAAACTAACTTGCCAGTTACTGCCCACTGTAGACTCTGTGGGGTTTATTTACTAAAGCTGGAGAGTGCAAAATCAGACTCCCTTCTGCATAGAAACCAATCAGCTTCCAGGTTTCATTGCCAAAGCTTCATTGAACAAGCTGAGGTTAGAAGCTGATTGGTTTCTATGCAGAAGGGAGTCTGATTTTGGACTCTCCAGCTTTAGTAAATAAACCCCTGTGTGACGTGGTGCAAAATAGTCTTTGCCTTTCCAGTAGTCGCCTTTCCATTAGTAGATCCTGACATTTCAGTCCACAGTAAGCACCTTACAGTTCCAATTGTGGCTGTTCCCACTTTTAAGGGTAGATGTTTTGAAGCCCTTTTAAAGGCTTCCTTGCAGGTCCATCCCTCCAGCAGGCTATTGCCGCCATATCATTTTACCAAACTATTGCTAACTGGGATCCTTGACCTTACAAATTACTGTAGGGTCAAAATAGGTTTGTGTCCACTTTAAATGGACATAAAGTGTACTGTGGAGTTCCTCCGGTCCTTTGTTGATGTTATGTCTCCTTCCACACCCAGCCACAATTGGCAATCTTCCTGAGTTTTGCAGACACTTCCCCTTTAGGATGACATCTCCTCCACTCTGTCTCCTCTCCTCCTCCACTCCACATTAAGGTGCAATCGCCTGTGTGTAGTTAAAAACACTCCTGTGCATGCATCAGCACTTTTCAATACACAAACACTGGAATTTCTTGTACTTCCTAAATGTGAAGACATTATCCAGAAATGCCTGCTACGTGTTTCGTCACAGGGTAGCGTGACTTCTGCAGGGGGAATTTAGACAGGTATGTCCGACAAGGTCATCGTATAATTGTTTACTACCTAAGCATTACCTTTCAGGCAAGGCTAATTTTATACAGTGGTTGTAGGCAACTTCTAGTGCTTTATTAAAGCCAAGTTCCAGGCAAATAAAAAAGACACATTCATGTAAATTAGTTAAAAAATATGTTTATTTGCAAGGAGCATAGGTATCTGAGCCTTGGTAGAAGCCTCTCGCGATCGCCTGTACAGCCAAGATCAGATTGGGAGAGGGAAAATCAGTACAAGGTGCCATTCAGTTGTGCTGCAGTGCTGATGTTCTGACAAAAAAAACTTTTTCTGGGGGAAGTCAGCCAAGTGATAGAAGAATAAGGTAAAATTGCTTCTATATATACATTTCATGTGTATTTATCATTGAGTTAATTGCTTTTCCTGGGTTCCCTTTTGTTACTGGGGTCCAGACAGTGAATAATGTTAGCAGAGCTTTTTCTGAATTAGAGTTGCTGTATGTAGATACAGCACAACAGTGAGCACATTTGTTCACTCTTGTTTATTTGCCATGCTATTGCAGTTCATTAAAATAAAGATCTCGATCTTGGTAAAATCTCCTTTTGCAGAAAAAGAATATTTCAGTAATTGTTTTTTGTTGTCTTTTGCAGGCAGTATCAAGACTTCCTTGAAGATCTGGAGGAAGATGAACTTATCCGAAAAAACGTCAACATTTACAGAAGTAAGAATGCTTATCAAGTGCTAAGACAAGTGTTTTTCAAACTGAAGCACAGAGCTACTTGTAATGCCACAGTCAAATACACCTCAGAACTTAATGTCATTTTTTTATTCCTTTAACAGTCTTTTAGACCTCAGGTACCTGTAGGGAACCACATATCTGTTTAGCCCTCTTCATCGGTTCACTTTCTGACAGTTCACTGGGCACAGCTAATGTTAGGCTACATGTACACTTGAACTCCCCTAAACGTTAACTCTCCTGGCAGCAGAAAAACACTAAATGCGTCAAGATAGCATGTAAATGCAGTCCCGTGTTTTGTGCTTGGATGTTTATATACACTATATTGCCAAAAGTATTGGGACGCCTACCTTTACACACACATGAACTTTAATGGCATCCCAGTCTTAGTCCATAGGGTTCAATATTGAGTTGGCACATCCTTTCTGGCAAGGCTGTCCACAAGGTTTAGGAGTGTGTATATGGGAATGTTTGACCATTCTTCCAGAAGCGCATTTGTGAAGTCAGGCACTGATGTCAGACAAGAAAGCCGGGCTTGCAGTCTCCACTCTAATTGATCCCAAAGGAGTTCTTTCGGGTTGAGGTCAGGACTCTGTGCAGACTAGTCAAGCTCCTCCACCCCAAACTCGCTCATCCATGTTTTTATGGACCTTGCTTTGTGTACTGGTGCGCAGTCATGATGGAACAGGAAGAGGCCATCCCCAAACTGTTCCTACAAAGTTGGGAGCATGAAATTGTCCAAAATGTCTTGGTATGCTGACGCCTTGAAAAACAACCCCACACCATAATTCCCCTTCTATCAAACTTTACACTTGGCACAATGCAGTCAAGCAAGCAACGTTCTCCTGGCAACTGCCAAACCCAGACACGTCCATCGGATCGCCAGACAGAGAAGCAGATTAATCACTCCAGAGAACACATCTCCACTGCTCTAGAGTCCAGTGGTGGCGTGCTTTTACATCACTGCATCCGATGCTTTGCATTGCACTTGGTGATGTAAGGCTTGGATGCAGCTGCTCGGTCCATGGAAACCCATTCCATGAAGCGCTCTACGCACTGTTGTTATGCTAATCTGAAGGCCACATGAAGTTTGGGGGTCTTTAGCTATTGATTCTGCAGACAGTTGGAGACTTCTGCACACTGTGCATTTCAGCATGTGCTGACCCCGCTCTGTCATTTTACGTGGCTTACCACTTCGTGGCTGAGTTGCTGTTGTTCCCAGTTGCATCAATATGTTGTTATAATACCACTAACAGTTGACTGTCGAATATTTAGTAGCAAGGAAATTAAACGGATGGACTTGTTGCACAGGCAGCAATCTATCACGGTACCACGCTTGAATTCACTGAGCTCCTGAGAGCGACCCATTCTTTCAAAAATGTTTGTAGAAGCAGTCTGCATGCCTAAGTGCTTGATTTTATACATCTGTAGCCATGGAGGTGATTGGAACACCTGAATCCAATAATTTCTAGGGGCGTCCCAATACTTTTGGCACTATAGTGCATTTACTACTGATGATGAGTCTGACACCAGGACAGATATCTTAACATTATAGTTAATCAAGCTTGAAAACTTGACGGTTTTATGAGGGCCATGAGAATGAGATGTGTATTGTGTTAGATTCTGTTATTCCTGTCAAGATACTGATAAGGTTGTTTGGAATGCCGATAGGTGCTTGATTTTATACATCTGTGGCTATGGAGATGATTGAAACTCCTGAATCCAATGATTTGGAGGGGGGTGTCCCAATACTTTTGGCAATATACTGTATTTCATTGGCAAGTACTTGCCATTGAAATTAATATTCGCCCAAGCACTAAACCCAGCTAGTGTTTAGGTGCATTTTACACTTGTTTTTGCAGCATTTTTTTTTTTTTTGGTCAAAGTGTTGTTCTCCTGTACGTGATTCTTCTGCATTCAAGAGAAGAACGTTTAACAGCACCTAAACTCTACTGCTCCTAAACTGTGGTGTTTTTTTTTGCCAAAACTCAATAAAAGCCTGTGTGTCCATTCACACATAGGCTTTTACCAAAGACTCCTAAACTCACATTTAGGATTAGCAGTGTGCATGAGGCCTTAAAGTAAACCAGTTGTGGGAAAAAAACAAGGATGACCGGTATCTATGAAGGTTCTCATTTATCCAGGTCCTGGTATTGATAATAGTAGTAAGTTCAACTGGACTCTGTAATGTTGAAGGTTATTTATTTACTAATTTAAGTAGCTTCTTCAGATCTGAGTGTCAGGACCATACCCTAGCAATAAATACCCACACATGTAGCACAATCACCTTAATCCACTCATCATAGAATGTCATGGCAAGTGTTGATTGTCCAAGAACAGATGGGGGAGGTGTGAGGAAGGTCTGTGAAATGTTCCTGTTCGAATTTCATAATCCTATAATTCTATCACCATGTTGCCAGGGAGTTTGGCGCATGTACTAGTTATTCAGACTTCATGGTTAAAGTTGGAAGTCATTGTGTTGTGTGGTAGATATGTTAAAATGCCAAGATACAGTGTATTAGTAACAGATGGTGTTTATTGACATTTGTTCTAGTTTGATTTAAAAGCAGTTGTCCAAACACACTAGCGACAGCCATTGTTGACCTTCTTAAAATACCTTTTTAGCGGTCTTACTTGCACAATAATTTCAGTTCTTCTTTAATCAATTTCCCAGAACAATTATGAAGATCAGAAAAGTCAGAAGTAAATATCTTTATGCTTATTCTAGATCAGTAAAGCAAAGTATTAGAGCAAGATGGTCAACTTGATAGCCAGGCCACTAGCATTTTTGAAAAAAGTAGTCAGCAATGACAATCTCCATATCTCTCTGACAATAGGTTTCCTCTAAAACTGGTGGCCCTCCAGCTGTTGCCAAGCTACATGTCCCAGCATTGCAAGGCTGACAGCTACAAGCATGACTCTCAAAGGCAGAGGCATGATGGGACTTGTACTTTCGCAACAGCTGGAGGGCAGCCATTTTGATACCCCTGGTCTAAAGTATTTTACCTTTTAAAGTGTTTAGACTATACTCATTACATAGTACAAGTATTTACATATTCTGAACAAACCAGGAAAGTACTTTAAATCCTTCATTTACCTCTGTAACTATGAGCACGGTGGAGAAATTGATTTTGAAACTTTGCAACAGATAAAGAATTGTTAGCTTTTTGTTCTATGAAGAGCAGATTGTAAACAACTAGCAGATGTTCTTAAACTGTTAGAAATGCATGACACCAGCCTTTTGAATGTTTGTGTTGATCTGTGAGAGGAATAACTTTACGTTACAAGCAGCTAGAGAGTTAAGTGAATGCTTGTTTTAAAGCTCTTTTGCTGATTATTAATGACAGCCATACACATGTGTGTGACAGCACAATTGTACTCCCCAGCCGACGTCTATTGTGTGTGCCCTCTTGGTGCCCCCAGCACAGTGACCACGCTGTCACCAGAAAACTAAAGTTTATGTGCAACTAAACGTTGTCTAGAGTAGTAGCTTTTCTCTGCATAATATTGGTCACATTGCCTACAAGGTTTTTAGTATCATACTTCATATACCAGCTGGCTGGATATACATTAAGCAACCATAAATCAATAAGATTCTGTATTCCTTTAGCGCACCTACAGTTTTACTATTCAGATTAGCAAAAATAAGAATGTGAATTTAATATCAGCAGACACGTTTTAGATATGTACTTGGTGAGCAACACTCTTGAGTACAGTACAAAGAAGCAATGAAACATTTCTTCATCTGTTTTATAAATGCTCATTTTCGTCTTTGGTCGCCTTGCAGTCTAGACCTCATGCTTACTTTCTCTCCTTCAGATGCTGACATTGCAGTGGAGAGTGACACTGATGAGGAGGGAGCTCCTCGAATCAGCCTGGCAGAGATGTTAGAAGATCTTCACATTTCTCATGATGCCACCGGTGGGGAAGGGGCAGGAATGCTGACAGAATAGACTTGCTTGAAAGCATCCTGCTGGTGCGTTTCACTAGAGAGGATTTAGAATGTGTCCAATTTATTTTCAGCTATCTAATTCGTGCACTCATACATATTTCTCTCTGAACTTGGATACCATACACTAAGCTCTTGTGTGTTTCGCCTTCCAACTGTCAAATATTAAAATAACAAATGTTTAAGCGGGTTGGATTTTTATTTTCTTTTTATGCTGACATCTTTAAAGAGCTGGCATTTACAACATGCCTCATTTCAGGTATTTTGAGGATGGAACATTGTGCGATATAAATAAATGAAAATCTGCAAATACAGTCTAAAGTTAAAAAAAGACCAGTGCTTGTTAATAGATGACACATTTTCTGTTACATTGAAAATAAAAAAAAAAAAGTTTTTAAATGGGGTCATTGTTTGGCAACTTTTTTAATCAACTTTGCACTGCTATATAATTTCATGAAGGATAGGATTTTAATATTTGGAATGATTCTTTACCCCTTTTCAAGAAGCAGATCATATACTGGTGTATATATCAGTGTGCACTGTGAATATCTGTGTGTAGCAAAATACTGTCTGTAAATACAGTGTAGGTCATCATTAATGCAGAATGAAGACTCACACCAACAGACATTTGCTGCCATTAGATGCTTACTGACAGGAAGAATCTGACTGATTTCTGTAGGGATTTCATCCGTTTTTTTATTTTCCATTTTAATAATTCCTTTATCATTTTTCATAATTGGAAAAACTATGGAGACAAATATGTCAGCTGTCATTACAGAACTAATGCTGATTATTTGGTGGTCATGATGCTTTGCTAGTTATACTGGCTGGATGCAGATTTGAAACATGTATGCTGATCAAGAGTGTTCTGAATACATTCATTTCACTGGCTACATACTTGTTTCAAGCTAGAGAAAATAATAAAGTGACAGTAAACTCTGGTTTTGAAAGAAAAAAAAATATTTTCCAGTATATGTTCTTAAAGTAGAATTCTGGTCAAACCATAGCTACTCTTAAAAACCCTCCCCCATTCTAACACCTATTATAGCTAACCTGTGTAAGAAAAGATCTGCATACTTTACTATTTTAATGCTACTCCAGTCACATTATAGGGCTCCCCTCTGTCATCCAGCCACAGGTGCAGGCGAGAGGAGGGGGTGCTGACAATACATGGACCATAGTAAGCCTATGGGTGACAATACCTGCCATCATTGTGTGCTCTCTCTTCTCCCCTACCAGTGCCACTGGCTGACACGGAAAATCATGTGTCCAGACCAGAGCAACCTATATATAGGTAATAATATACTGTAGGGATGGGGGAGCGCATTTTTAAGAGTGGTTGGGGTTTGACCGGAATTGTACTTCAAAAAAGTACCTTCTATTGCTCTTTGCCACCTACAAATATCCAAATTCCTTTTGTTAGCTATGTTCATTCTTCATGGTCCCACTGTATGTAGGAATGTAGCTATCCATTCTTTCTCCCACTGGAAATGGACTAGGGACTATAAATTTATGGACTGTGGGATTTGTAGTTTGAGAAGTGCACATTACCACAACTGACATGCATTGTTCGTTCCAAACCAATGGAAGTGAGAGGGAAACAGAGGTTCGGGAGCTCATGGAGGACATTACAAGGAGGCAGAAAAATACTGTAATAAACTATTTTATGAAAAATAGAACAAAAGACTGTTAAGTAATGAATGTGTATAGATTTTCTCTGGAAAATAGGGATATTGTTTAGTGTCACTTTAAACCAGAGACAGTCACACAGCATCTACTTTCCAAAGGAAGTCAACAGTGGCAAACCACCTATTTTTCAACACTGATTTTCTTTTTTTCAGATACTGCCAATAAAATAATTAAATTACAGTAAACACGTTGCTTTCGGTGAACGCTTTCAGACATGATATATTGAAAATGACCAAGATCAGAAAACTTAGCACTTTGTTTATGCAAATTAAGGTTTTACTAGACCTTGAATTGGGTATGGTGCAGAAATCCTGTCTTGATGAATATACAGTAGTTCTCCTAACATTCACAGCATCCCCTTCTCACACTGTCCAACATGGGCCAGAGCTAGGCAGTACTTTGCAGCCCAAAGCTTCAGCCTTTTCGCCTCCATACTTCAGCTGCAGATTCTGAAACCTTTCACTGCATATTAATTGGGAGATGTAATGGTTGCATTGCAGGCATGCCATCGATGGGGCTCTCACCTCCTATAGAAGTGCAGTGCCAGGTGCGCCTTTTAGAGTGCAGAGCTGGTATAAAAGAGACAGGGTTGGAGCAACACATTTGAAAGCCCTTCTTGGCCTTATGCAATGTAATGTAAATTTACTGTGTTAAAGGTGATGAAGAGGACCTGTGGGGCCTGTGAATGATTTATTGCCCTCCTAGGGGGCAATAAATACAAAGTCATCACATTTCTTCCTTAATTCCAGTGATTGATACCTTTTTCAGTATGCACATATGATATGCATCAACTCTGCTCCTCTCTCTCTTTTCTCTACAGGTCCCAAAGAAATTGCAAATGTTATATATTTTTTTTTTTGCTTTTTCTGGGTCACTTGCTCCAATAATTACTTTATTGATGGATAGGAGACTTATGAGGTGGGGACTAATACTCTCTCTCGGTCTTGTGCCGTGGCATTATTCAGTAGCCACAGTAGTAGGTAGTAGTACAACATACGGCTGAGGACTTAGTCCAGTTTGATTCATTGTGATAATTGTTTGAGGGTTGAAATGGCAAAAGGGTCAATGAATTCAGCACATTATATACCAGCTTAAGTGACACACAGAATTGGGTTGACCCAATATCTTTTTCATTAAAGCAGAACTACACTGCATTTGAGAACTACAAACTATAAGCTATTTAATTCATGTTTAGTATTTAAAGCTAACTCACCCTCTATCCATGTCTCCATGCTTTATTTTCTGAGAAATCACTTTAAAAAACACCCCCCTTTCTCCATCATTTCTAGCCATGGCCATCTTGAGTAAGGACAGTTGACTCCTGTAGCATTTACTTCCTGGAATCAATCCTCCCCTAGCTCTGGCAGGCAGGAGGGTGTGCTTAGCTATGAAAGCCCCTTCTCCCCTCCTGAAGACTCCTGGGATGTATGACATCATTTGCCTAGGCCTGGAAACCAGGAAGTAACTGAAGAAATGTAAAAAAAAAAGTATAAAACAAGTAAATAGGATACACTTTCATATCTATTTACTAATGCTAGCAGCATAAGGATTAAAAATAGTCAATGGTGACAAAGCGCGAAGTGTGGGCATCACAGTGGCTAAATGGTTAGCACTTCAGCCTGGCTGTACTAGGGTTGTTGGTTTTAATCCCTACCACGGCACCACCTGCCTGGAGTTTGCATGTTGTCCCTGTGCCTGCGTGGGTTTCCTCCCACACTCCAAAAACATGCTGGTAGGTTAATTGGATCCTGTCTAAATTGGCCCTAGTATGTGTATGTATAAATGTGAGTTAGGGACCTTGGATTGTACACTCCTTGAGGGTTAGGGACTGATATGAATATACAATATATATATATACAGTTGTGCTCATAAGTTTACATATCCTGGCAGAATTTATGATTTCTTGGCCATTTTTCAGAGAATATGAATGAGAACACAAAAGCTTTTCTTTCACTCATGCTTAGTGTTTGGCTGAAGCCATTTTTTATCAATCAACTGCGTTTACTCTTTTTAAATCATAATGACAACACAAACTACCCAAATGACCCTGATCAGAAGTTTACATACCCTGGTGATTTTGGCCTGATAACATGCACACCAGTGGACACAAACGGGTTTGAATGGCTATTAAAGGTAATCATCCTCACCTGTGATCTGTTTGCTTGTAATTAGTGTGTGTGTATCAAACGTCAATGAGTTTCTGGCTCCTGACAGACCCTTGCTTCTTTCATCAAGTGCTGCACTGACGTTTCTGGATTCTGAGGCATGGGAAAGCAAAAGAATTGCCAAAGGATCTGTGGGAAAAGGTAGTTGAATTGTATAAAACAGGAAAGGGATATAAAAACATATCCAAGGAATTGAGAGTGCCAATCAGCAGTGTTCAACCTTAATTAAGAAGTGGAAAATGAGGGGTCCTGTTGAAACCAAACCATGGTCAAGTAGACCAACTAAAATTTCAGCCAAAACTGCCAGGAAAATTGTTCGGGATGCAAAGAAAAATCCACAAATAACTTCAGGTGAAATACAGGACTCTGAAAATGTGGTGTGGCTGTTTCAAGATGCATAATAAGGAGGTACTTGAAGAAAGATGAGCTGCATGGTCGAGTCGCCTGAAGAAAAGCCATTACTACACAAATGCCACAAACTATCCTGCTTACAATATGCCAAACAGCAGATAGACAAGCCTCAAACCTTCTGGCACAAAGTCATTTGGAGTGATGAGACCAAAATTGAACTTTTTGGCCACAAGCATAAATGCTACATTTGGAGAGGATTCAACAAGGCCTATGAAGAAAGTTACACCATTCCTACTGTGAAACATGGAGGTGGATCGCTCATGTTTTGGGGATGTGTGAGCTACAAAGCCACAGGAAATTTGGTCAAAATTGATGGCAAGGTAAATGCAGTATGTTATCAAAAAATACTGGAGGAAAATTTACATTCATCAGCCCAGAAGCTGCTCATGGGATGTATTTGGACATTCCAACATGACAATGATCCAAAACACAAGGCCAAGTCAACCTGTCATTGGCTACAGCAGAATAAAGTGAAGGTTCTGGAGTGGCCATCTCAGTCTCCAGACCTCAATATCATTGAGCCACTCTGGGGAGATCTCAAAACGTGCAGTTCATACAAGACAGCCAAGAATTTACAGGAACTGGAGGCTTTTTGCCAGGAAGAATGGGCAGCTTTACCATCTGAGAAGATAAAGAGCCTCATTCACAAGTACCACAAAAGACTTCAAGCTGTCATTGAAGTTAAAGGGAGCAATACACGGTATTAAGAACTGGGGGGTATGGAAACTTTTGATCAGTC